GCGGGCCCCGCTCCGGAGGGTCCCCCGAGGCCTCCGGTGCCCGCTCTGCCCGGCGCGGCGGAGCCGGTGTGACTTGGTGAAACACTTGTCAAGTACTGTTCCATTTGGACGGTTTGACGTCTCACGAGCTGTTTCCGCTCGTACGTCAGCATGTAACCAAAAAATACCGCATTACAGTATTGTAAACACACAGTTTTCTGGCAGCGTCTGGAATATCTTCCATCAAAAGCACAGAATAATCTCAGAATAACCCAGGAACTACGGAAATGTTTCTGTAAGAAAGCACAGCATGGTGAACAGTTACAGCAGTGTGTTTTTATCAGATACTGGCTAGCATAAAAACCAGCATTGGGACTGCAGATGGACACAGCAGAGGAAAGGAAAGCAAAGCAATCCCTGTGGCTTAGTCCGATAATCCCCTGAAAGTAAATTGGCCCTGCTCTAATCAACATAGTGGTTGGAAGAAAAGTGAAATCATTTCACTTCTGATATAATAAATGCCAAATGGCAGAAGGTACCCTCACCTGTTTCAATGTACTGCTATTTTCTGTTTGACACTTTGTCTCTTATTCAGTCACGCATTCAGGCTTTTTTTCTCCATGAAAAGAAAACTCAAGCCTGCTTTAATTAAGTTCAGGTTCACCTCGTTTGTCCTGTCGTGATAGTCTAGTTAAAAATATTACCTACCCTGCCCTTTAGAAAGACTGCAGTGACGTTACCTTTACCCATGTGAATGCTTGACTTGCACTGTCCCCTTTCTAGGCTTAGACCTTCAGACCCCAAAGCAAGGAGACCCAGGGACGCACTCAAACACCACCTTGCTCCCAGCAGTGCCACTTTGTTTTGAACCACTCTTGTTTTAGAAATACTACTGCACTCTGTTCTAATTTTCCAGAGCCACCTAATCTTCTTCCAGGCTCTTAATGATGTAGTTGATAATAGGATTGTTGGTATTAATTTGGAACAATAATGCCAGCTGCTTGCTTGGTGGCTATTGGCAGAGGGGTGACCTTGCAGGTCAGCTAAGCAGGACTGGAAGTGCTTTGATCTGATCTATACAGAGCTAGATCTGCCCACCCGAACCAGAGGAGCGGGTGAAGTCTCTCTCCATGGGATGCTGATTCTTCCCCAAAGAGCACGGAGGACAGCATGGCACTGGCTCTGGATGCAATCCTCGCTCGGATCAAGGATGTTTGTAAAAGAAACGGTTTGCTGATCCTCTCGGTGTTGTCAGTCACCATTGGCTGTCTGCTCGGATTCTTCCTGAGGACGCGGCGGCTCTCCCAGCAGGTATGTGTGTGCCACAGTGATCTCAGCCTGTCCCTGCCGGGAAATCGCCTCCTTACGTAACAAAAGCAACTTGCAGAAAACTTAAGGATGGACTTTGGAAGATAAAAAGCACTGATGTGTGTTTGTTACATCTGTTTAATTTCTCTTCTTTGTTAATCTACCGTGTCCTTTTGGTCTTTTCACACATTCTCAAGCAAAGTGTTTGCAAAGGGCTCTGGTCTTTAGGGCACCTGGTAAATACAGCGTAAGCATATTATATAGTCTGTCTACTATGGATAATAATAGCGGGTGTTAAAGCCAAACGAAATGTAGCATCTAATATAGACCTGTTAAAAACCGATAGTGCAATGTATTTATTGGATTTTATATTCCTCTGGAACATGTATGTCTAAAGAAAACCCTGGGAATACTTTTCACTGGGAGATGTACAGAGTACAGATGCTTATATTACACCGATGGTGTTTTGTATTAATAAATTTGAGATTTCAAATAATCAATAGACCATATTATTGAAGTCATCTGGGGATTTCTCCTCCAGCATACTTCAATAAAGCTCTTATGCAGATACTCATTTCTTTCTGCTCTATTAGTCAGAATGGAGAGGACAACGTGCATTGCTGAATGCATTGTTTGAGCACAAATCTAAATACCAATTTAAAAATATGCCACTTAGAAAACGTGACTAAACTAAAACAATTATTTGTTCTGCTACTGCTAGCTGCAGCCTGAACATCTTTTATCCTCAAGCAGTAGCTTCATACACACCTAGCAAAACACACAGAATGCAGAACGATGAGATTTTTAGGGCAACCTATTAATGGTAGTCCCCAGGAGATGCCATATTTCATTTTTGTCTTCCTTTGTAAAAGAAAGAAAAATGTAGTGTGTTTTTGATTATTTACAACACAATATATAATCTAATTAGTTTTTAAGAAATATTTTAAAGCCTACTTCTTTGCCACTTTACATACCAAAGCTGCAGGTTTTACCAGTGTTATCTGATCCACAACTTTAACAGGACTCATGAAAACAGATAGTCTTTATCTCAAAACAATAAGCATCTCTCCATATATTTCTAGGAAATTAGTTATTTCCAGTTTCCTGGTGAGTTACTGATGAGGATGCTGAAAATGTTGATTCTTCCACTGGTTGTCTCAAGGTAAGTGAGGACAATGATTGTTCCTACAACTTTTGAAGTTTCCTAAATGGGACATGTCATCCCCTCCATTTTGGGTTTAACTAAATTCATGTCCAAATGCCAGGACCATTACAGAGTGCTGTGAAGTGAAAGTGATTTCTTAGTGTATTAAAGGCAGAATCTTTAGTGGCGGCAGGATTAATGATCTAGATCTTGGTGCAGAGGGACGGGGGATGCTGGCTGCTTTTGCAGCGGGCAGATGTAATTTAGGATAGTTTTTTCTCTCCTCTAAATTTGTCTTGTCTTCCAACTGACTCCAATCACAAATAGCAGTTGGATGGTCAAAGACTCTGAGCTCAATGCTGAAAGAAGATGTAAGGAGAGATGGAGAGTAACAAGGCTAACTTTACCTAACCAGACCTAAGGTAAAAATCTTGCACTCTTTGGTACCTTTCCTTAAAGCTTCATTTTCTAGAACTGAATACATATGCCAAAATGTCATCTTCCATTTTAAGGAAAGTTTCTAGGCTTCAGATAGGTGAGAGTTGCTGAAAATAAACCCAATCCAGCATTGATTTTATTTTTAAATCCTCTACCTGCTCATCGTTTTTCACAGACCGAAGGCAATTCGTGGTGCTTGTGTCCCTAGAACTGGCCATAGTATGACCACAGACTCATACCTGGTTCTGTCTCGTGCAGCTAGAGCACATCAAGACAAAATACGTTATTTTGTGTGTGTGTGAGGTGAAAGGAGAGTTTTCCAAGGACAAGAGGAATCTCACATGAGGAAGTGACACTGTAAGGACTGAAAAGGGTTGGAGCAGAAACTCATGCCCTTCCCTAAAATGTGTAGTTCTTCAAATTCCCTTGTTTTTCAGAGATCACAGAATCACAGAATCTTAGGGGTTGGAAGGGACCTCAAAAGATCATCTAGTCCAACCCCCAAAGCCA